AATTATAGAATAGTAAGATAAGTAACCTTAACTTAAAAAAGGCTAGCGGTATATTTTCTTTAAAGTTATTCGGTCTATCTTTATAGTAATTATATAGGAAATAAAGATATAAAAGAGTAGTATTTAATAGTAAGGAAGCTAGGGAATCTAGGACCTTTTTATAGATAATTAAAGCCCCTTATCCCCTTAGTTATATAAGTAACGAGAAAAGAAGATAAGGGCTAGCTTTACTAAAGTTATTACTATAATATATTAGTGCCTCCTCTTTAAGGTATAGCCCTTCTACCTACCTTAAGAGTTATAAGCGGTAAGAGATAAGCTAAAGATAAGCTAGTAAGGCTAATAGGCCCCCCTTATTCCTTTTCTACTTTCTATACTCTTATATCTCGCCTCTTACTAGTTATAGGGCCCCTCTTCCTTTATAAATATCGCTTCTCTTATCTATAACGACTAGTATTATTCCTAAGGGATAAACCTATTAAGGGGTTTATATTAATAGATATAATAGGTAGTCTAAGTAAGGATAAGTATATTATATTAGTAATAAGTCGGAGGTTATAGACTATAGACTATAACTAAGTAATTAAGTAATTAGAATTAAAGATAATATTATAATAGAGATCGTAATAATTATATTAAAAGCTATTAAGCTATCTATTTAAAGGAGTAAAAGTAGGTAGCTATATATACCTATAGAGACTATCCTTAGATTATAGGCCTAGCTATAATCCCTAATATTAGATTATATAAAGCGTAGTAATCTTATTAATCCTAGATTACTTAGATCTCTATAATCCCCTCGATCCTATATCTATTAAATAGTCGTGCTAACTAGTTATCCGTTAGACTATATTATATACTTAACGCGGTCGACCGTTAGCGGCCTAGTAGCTATAGTCGTAATATAATATCTCCCTTTCTTTTAGTCTTATCTATAAGACTTACTATAGCTACCTTAGCTACTATATATAAATATACCCTTATTACGTTATATATAAGTATATCGTTCCTTATCTATTTATCTTTTCGGGATATACTACTAATAGTATATTTAGTCGTATACTAAAAGATCGTTCTTAAAAGGCCTCTAAGCGCGCTACTCTTACCGAATATATCGACTTAAATAGAGATCTACTAATATACTATATACTTAATACTTTAAGGCAAAGAAGATAAATTATTAAATAGCCGAAAATTCTTTACGCTATAATAATTATATTACTAGTAGTCGTCCCTATTATAATAGTATTTTAGTAGCCTCTTCTTATAAGTATCTTTTAATTCTTTCTATATATAGTAGCTAATATATTTCTTTTAGTAACTAAATTATTAGTAGAGTAGTATAGGCTATATTTTAAAGAGGAGGAAGCTAAGGAAGCCTTATTAAAGCTTTAGGCATAGCTTACGAACCTTTAGTTATAAATATCTATCGCCGTTAATCGTTTAGCTTATATCTAGAAGATTTAGAATTATATAAAGGAAAAGAGTTCTAAGTTATTTCGTCGTAGTATCTAAGAAGTAGATACTAAGGATAGCGTTTTACCTACGCTTAATATATATAAGTATTAGGTAGTAAATAACTTATAATTATTAGGCGTTCTTAATAAAGCGAATTAGTCTTTATTTAGTATTAGTAAGGAGTTTATAGATCTTAGTCTTTTAATCCCTTTTAAACCTTCTAGTAAAATTATCGAAGTAGAGAGCTATAGTAGGTTAAGTACTTAAGTAGTTCCTAAGTATTTTCCTTTAGTCTATATTCCTTTTACTTAATAAGGTATTCTTATCGCTAACCTTATTTTCTTATATTTAGTATTTATTTTACTTTATATTCTTAATTATCGTTAACTTCGAATTTTTTATATAGTTTAGCGTTTTATAGCGCTAGCTTTAATAATATGATATAAAATATCGGGTATATTTATATTATTATTAATAGCGAAAGTTTATAGTTAACTTTTAAAATAGTTTTCTTAACCTTAAATAGTCTAAGTTTCTTAAAGTTTAGTTTATTACTTAGTCGTTTTATTTTAATATTTTATTATATAAGGTAGACTATATCTCCCTCTTAAAAGATCGGTCCCTATACTCTTTTCCGATTATAGTAAGTAGATATTCGTTCTCTAATAAATTAAAGTTCTTATTATATTTCTTTATATAATTTTTATAGCTAATCTACTTATAGTATTACTCGTTCCGCTTATAGTCTTTATTAAGTAACCTTAAATACTTCTAGGTTATATCTATAATTAGTATATACTAGTAAGAGCTTAGTTATTTTTATAACTAAGCTATTATAAGCTAGTTATACTATTAGTAGCTATTTAACTTTATTGTTTTATTTATAGCTAATATAGTATTATAAATATTATTTAAGCGTTTAGTTAAGTCGTTTTATTTATCTATCTATTTATAGGTAATAAGCTATACTAAGCTTATATTTTATCCTTAATTATACTATAAGAGCTTACTAGAACTTAGCTATAAATATACTTTTTTTATTAAAGATAATCTTATTTAATAGTCTATAATTACTAATAACTATTTATAGGAATATATATACTAGCTCTTTTATATTACTTACTTCTTTATATAGTAAGAAGTATCTATACTATATTAGTCTATTAGTAATAACGAATATACTATTATACTTAACTTTAGTTATAGGTTCTTTTAATAATAATAGCTTTATAATATAGTCGAAAGCTATTAAATCCTATAGCTTCTTTAGTACTAGTAGCGGTTATAATTCTCTATATAGCTTATATCGTTTAGCTTTACTTTATATATAAAGTTTATATTTTTTAATAACTTATTATATTACTTTTTTAAGCTATAAGAAGTTATATTATTATTTAATCCGTTTTATTATTCTTTAGATTCCTTAGTATCTATATATTAAATATTTATATATATCTTATATAACTTTATCTTATAATTCTAGTAGTATCTAGATTTTATTTTTATATATTAAAACTTTTAAATATTCTATATTATATCCGTTTAATACTTTATATTCTTTTATCTATTTTAGGATCTTTTAGTATATTAAGTTATTAAGTTATACTTTAAATATTATATTTAGCTATCGTTACTAATAGTTCTTATTTTCGTTAATTTCTAGGAGCTATCCTTTTACTATAAGTGCCCTTATATTATAGTTACTTTATCGACTAAGGGTATTAGCTCGACCGTTTTCTATTTCTTTTTTATAGATTATTTTATAGTTAAATTCTAATAAATATTCGGCCTATTAAATCTATCGTCCGTTTAACTATTATATTATTATAAAGTATAAGATATTTTTATAATCTATATAAACTGTGAAAGGCTGGCCCGGAGTTTATTCAACAAGCAGGTGCCTAGGTGTTGTCTATCTAGAGCTAAGGAGGAAAAGAAGCTGAACTCGAGGCGTAGCCTCGAGTGCGAGCTTATATTGCCCTTCTCGGAATGTTCTCGCAGCTTCTGGGTCCGCGGGCGGCCGGTGTTGCCACCGGGCACGACCCACCGGACCCGGTACAACCGGGTCCACCAGCACAGCCCGTGACATTACCCTTGTCCCCTCCGACCAGGTCGGCGTCTGCGGGTTCTTGCGTTCCTGCCAGCGTCTCGTACCTCTCCCTAGGGCCATCATTGGTCTTGATTGGCCCGTACTTGTCCTCGAATGCCTTCATCGCAATTGTTCCTTGCAACCACTCAACTGGCTCCCAAGTCGGCTCTGCGTAGCCCGTCCATCGCACTAGTGCTTGCCTGAATTCCCCTCGTCCGCGCTTCTTCCATCTCGCGCAGAGGATCTCGTCGACATCCAGAGATCCGTGCCGGACTCATCTTGTACCGGTGGTGGCTGTGCGTCATCTACCTTTGGCCAGGAGCCGGATCTTGATGCGCCCGCCGCAAAGGTCAACATGAAATCGCGGGTAAATTGAGCCACGAACATCGAGCTCAACAACGTGCGAACTAATTACCTTCGTGACTGTGTACTTGTGATGCAGCCAGTCGAGCTTCTTGCACGGTCGTGGCGATCTGTAGTTTGCCATCGAGAGCCACACCTTGTCACCAACTTCAAATCGCTCCGCAGGCTGTCGCTTTGCGTTGGCAGCCTCTTCTTGTTGTTGCTGTGAGGAGGCCATCACTGCTTGCATGTACTCATTGACCTCCTGCAGGCGACTGAGTAGGCTATCAGCTCTGCTTTCCTCTCTATGCCTCGGTGGCTCTTCCGATTCCTCGACGCTGATGGGATCGACGTGGTAACCATGCTCAGCGAAAAGGGGCTGATCTTGGTCGCTGCGGATTCACGATTGTTGAGTGCCAGCTGCGCGGCAGGGAGCAGTTCTCCCCAGTCGTCCTGCACGTACGACACGTAGGCTCTCAGGTAGGCCTCGATCTCCTGGTTCATTCTCTCTGGCCCTCCGTCCGTCTGAGGATGATAGGCCGTGCTCAATTTCTGCGTGACACCTGCAAGACGGCAGAACCTCTTCCAGAACCTACTTAGCCAGTTGCTCCCGCGGTCGCTGACGATGGACCGTGGCATTCCGTGAAATCGGTAATGACACTGGAGAAAACGGTTTGCACACGGCTCAGCTTCCATGTTGTCCATCACCTCGAGGGTCACAGCCTTTGTCAGTCTGTCCACAATCACCCACAGGTACCTTGCCTTGCTCGGTCCAGTAGGCGGCAGATCTGTGATGAAGTCCATGGACAAATGGCTTCGGGGTCGATCTGGAATCGGCAGAGGCTTGAGAAATCCCCTTTTCGACTGGCGCCAGATGTGTGCTCTGCCGCAGGTGTCGCAATTGGCTACGTACCGGCGAACCAGCTGGGACTGCCCAGGCCAGTAGAATCGCCGAGCCACAATAGCCAGCGTACCTTCCTGCCGGGATGACCGGTCGCAACAGAGTCATGCGACTGCTGCACAATGCGGGTTCTCAACTGGTCTTTCTCAGCTTCCTCCTGGTTACCCTCCTCTCCGGATCCACCCGGCACCCAAATACGGTCTCTGAATGTCAGCCTTTGCCTGCGTCGATCGCACATTCTGAAATCTGGATCTTCAGGCCCAGCGAGGGCGGGAAGGCACGCTCGCGATCGCGGACTGCCTTATAGGCTGCCCGGAATATCGAGTCCTTCGCCACCGTTTCGTCCCAGAGTTGCTGCAGGTCCGCTACCTCGAAGACCTTCATCTTCGGCAGGGTGGATGCCTCTGAACAGTCAGAACTCATCGCGTTGATACATGCTCTTGTCGATGATGGAATGGCACTATCCGGTATCAACTGTATCATTCTTCCTTGTTCCCGCTCGTCGTCAATGCCCTGTGGCTTGTCTTGTTCACGGCGGGACAACGCATCAGGCACGACAGCCTCGCTTCCCGGTCGATACTCGAGCTTGAAGTCGAACTGGGACAATTCGGCTGCCCAACGGCTCTGCCGTTCCGTGAGCTTCTGGCGTGTCATGAAATACTCCAGGTTGCGGTGATCGGTAAGGATTGTAAATGGGCCGCAGCTCCTAAGTTCGGCGTTCCAGTTGTCGAGACATCTCATGATGGCAAGCATCTCCTTGTCGTGAATGGGATAGTTGTACTCCGCTGGCGAAAGTCGCTTCGAGAAGAAGGCGCATGCGTGTCGACGTCCATCTGGGCCTTCCTGCGACAGGACGCCTCCCAATGCGTAGCCTGAGCAATCCGTCTCCAAAAGGTCGGGAGGCTCGGGTCCCACTGCTTGAGCACCGGTGACTCGCAAAATCGTCGCTTCAGCTCCTGAAACGCCTCGTTCTCCGCTCGTCCCCAATGAAAGGCAGTTCCTTTCTTAAGCAGGGCATCCAGAGACTGCGTGATCTTGGCATAGTCGGGGATGAAGATCCGGTAATAGTTGGCGAAGCCCAGAAAGCTTCTGACACCCTTCACCGTGGTCGGGGCCTCCCATTCGCGGATGGCGCGCTGCTTTTCGGGGTCGCAGGCGATTCCTTTCCTGCGTTGACGATGAACCCAAGGTATTTGACCTCTTGTACCGAAAACTCGCACTTCGCTGGGTCTAGGTGCAGCCCAGCGTCGGCGAGTGCTTGGAGAACTCGTCGCACCTTAGCCTCATGATCCGCCTTCGAACCGCTCGAGTAGATCAGTACATCATCCAGGTACGCTGTGACAAAGTCGTCCAGCCATTCGCGCAATACACTGTTCATGTATCGTTGGAATGATGCCGGGGCGCCGCTCAGGCCGAAAGGGCACACGAGCCACTCGTAGAGCCCAAACCTCGTGCGAAATGCAGTCTTTCCCTCATGTCCCGGAGCCATGCGGATCTTATGGAAAGCGGCCACCACGTCCAACTTGGTGAACCACTTAGCCTTGGCCAGATTCTGCAGGGTCTCCGCGATGAGGGGCAGTGGGTATCGGTCGCGCTTGGTGATTGCATTCAGCGCTCGGTAGTCGCAACAAAATCGCAGCCCTCCATTCGGCTTCCGCACGAACAGCACCGGCGCGGCAGCCGCTGAGCTACTCGCTCGGATGAATCCTCTGTCCAGCAGGTCTTTCAGGGTCTTTCGCAAGACCAACAGCTCTTCTCGTGACATGTTGTAGAGTGGGCCCCACGGAAGGGTGGCTCGTTGCCGTTCTTGTCAGGCTGCAGGTTGACTTCATGATCCACACCCGGTCGATGTGGCGGCAGCTTCATTGCCTCTCCTGGTGAGAATAGGTCGCGGAATTCTTTCAGCACTTCTGCCGGGACCTTCTCGCTCGGATCGACTGGCGGCTTCGGCTGAAGCGCCCTCTCTATATCCGACAAACTGATTGCATGAATCGAGATCGCGTTGCACTTCTTGCGTCTCTTTGCGCGTCGACACTCCGCCGTGAATACGGCTGCCGACACGAGTCTTGCGCTTCGAATCGCGCGTATCTTGGCGGGCTCTTCCTGCCCAATGAGGCGTATCGTCACACCTGCCCTCCCATGGTACATTCGCTGCTTGGCAGCATCGTACACGACGTGATTTCTCCATCCAAGGCCGGCCGAGGAACATGTCCTGGCCCAGGCTTGGGATCACGTATGCAAAGACACGTTCGTCAAATCCAGCTGTCTCGACCACAACAGCCACGACCCTGGGGATATGACACTCTTCGCTGACTCTGAGAATCCCCCAATTTCTCGTGGTTTCGAGTCGACGAAGGGTATCCGCAGCTTCCGAACAAGGGCTTCGTCGATCACGGCATAGCAGTCACATCCACAGTCGACAAGGGCGCGTATTCGATAGCCTCGGTTTACCCGCGCGTTGACTAATACAGTCCGACTATTCATTCGTGGCTTGAACGCTTCCCAGTCCCGGATGTCTGCCTTTGCAGGCCCCGGCGCCCGCTTTCGCCCCGGGCTAGTCTTTTCCCGCCGACTCGTCCTCACTGGATGCTGCGGTTGACTCCGAATCATCTGCGGCATCGGGCTTCTTCATGCGCGCAGCTTTAGGTCGCTGTTGCTTCCTTCGCCAGGAAAGACCACCTGGGCTGGGCAGTCCACGATAAGATGATCCGTCCGACCACAGCGATAGCAGCGGCGCTCATCCTTCGGCTTCTTATCGACATGTCGACGACCCTTCGACTCGTGGCCAATACGGTTGATGTCCGTCATCTTAACATCTCCGTCGGGGTCCTCCGGTTCCTCCTTGGGTCGTTGCCTTGGTAGCTGTTGAGGCGTCCGCTCAGTCGACGTCGGCTGCCTACCGGGTTTCAGTCTCTCAATCTGCCCGCAATTTCCTGAACTCTCGCAAGCCATCCCTGGTAGTCGTCGGGTAGGACGGCTGTGACCAAACTCTCTTGGAGGCGTGCATTTATTGCGTTCTCTAGAAATACGATCTTTGCACTGTCCGGCCAGTCTGCTCCCCGGCTTCAGCTAATGCCTGTTCGAATCGGGAAGGAAGGACGCGAGAGGTTGGTCTTCGCGCTGCCGCATAGTTCTCAGCGTGGCAGCAGCGCAGGATTGGATGTTGCTGTCCTGGTAGGTTCGGTCGAGGTATCGCATGAACTCTTGGGGTCGTAGCTACCCCAGGGCCTCCGCGGCGTAAAGGTAGCGACCACTTGCTGTGGTCGCTCGTCCAAACATGAGTTGATGAGGTACCAAAGTTCGCGATTTCCACTGTAGTAGTGTGCATCAAGGTCCAGCTTGTCTCGCATCTGCCTGGCCCAGGAGGAGTAGCTCTTCCGTGAGCCGTCATACTTGGGTGGGTTGGGCAACGGTTTCCGCATTCCAGTACCGCAGGTTTTGGGAGGGCGTGCCCAAGCCAGGCGTGCTCTCGCCCAATCCTCGTGCCACTGGCGGCGATTGCAAGTCGGCGCTCTGCGGCTGCGCTCGCCCGAGTTGCTCCATCAGCAAGGAAAGTTGGTCCTGTAGAGGGCTGAGAGTCGCATTGACCGCTTCTTGAATGCGTTGGTCAATCCATTGCTGCTGGAGACTTGGGCTCTCACTCTGCTGGTCCATCCTGACGAGCAGTCTGCAGCTTGCGGTATTTAGAAGGAGCTCTAGATATGTGAAAGGCTGGCCCGGAGTTTATTCAACAAGCAGGTGCCTAGGTGTTGTCTATCTAGAGCTAAGGAGAAAGAAGCTGAACTCGAGGCGTAGCCTCGAGTGCAGCTTATATTGCCCTTCTCGGAATGTTCTCGCAGCTTCTGGGTCCGCGGAGCGGGGCCGGTGTTGCCACCGGAGCACGACCCACCGGACCCGGTACAACCGGGTCCACCAGCCGGGCACAGCCCGTGACATAAACCTTAACTTTATACTTACTTTTAAGAAAGTAGTATCGAAATTCCTTAAAAGCTTAAATAATTATAAGGAATTCTTTATTATAAATAGGGTAATTAAGTTCTACGCTATATAGCTTCTTTAAATAGAATATAATCGGTTATAGTCTTTCTTTATTATCTTTTTATTTAATTTATACTCTTAAAGTAAAGTTTAATATATTAGTTTTAAGTTTAATTTACTATTTTAAATCGAAGGTAGTTAAGACTAGTTTTTATATAATTATAGTTTTAATATATTCGAAAGCTTTATTAGCTTTATCGTCTTATATAAATTCTTTTTCCTTTTTTATTAAGTTATATAGTAGTACTATAATCTTTTTAAAATCTTTAATAAATCGTTAGTAGTAATTTATAAATCCTAGGAAACTTTATATATCCTTAAAGTTCTTTAGCGTTAGCTATTCTTTAACTAAGTTAATCTTATCTTATTATATTTATATCTCTCTTAGTAAGATTATATATCTAAGGAAGTCTACTTCCTATATATAGAACTTACCTTTCTTTAGTTTAACTAGTAACTTTATATTTTAAAGTATATAGAGTACCTTATAATCGTATTCCTTATATTCTTCTAAGGTATTTAAGAAGATTAAGATATTTTCTAGGTATACTACTATAAAGATATCTAAGTATTTATATAGGATATTATTAATTATTTATTAGAAGGTAGCTAGTATATTTATAAGTCTAAATAGTATTACTAGATATTTAAATAGTCTAAATTTCGTTTTAAAGGCTATTATTTATTTATATCCCTTTTTTATATATATTAAGTTATAAGCGCCTTTAAGGTTAAGGGCTATAAACTATTTTATACTATATAGTCGATCTTATAGTTCCGATATAAGCGGTAATAGTATTCGGTCTTTTATTATAATATTATTTAAGCGTCTATAGTTAATAACTAGTTATAGCTTACTATTTTTCTTTAAAATAAATATAACTAGGTAGCTTACTTTAAATATTAACGTTTATATATATCTCTTTTATAGATTCTCGTCGATATAGTCGCGTAGTATTTATAGTTACTTTTTATTTAAGTTATAGATCTTATAGAACGTCGGCGCTATTCTATCCTTAAGATAAATTTTATAGTTCTATTAGCTATATTTAAGTAACCCTATCTTAAGTTCTTTCTTAAAGAGTTTATTATATTTCCGGTATTCTTAAGGGATATTCTTTATTCTATCTTATAGGCTTTATTCTTTCTTTTAAGAGCTAGTTTCTCTTAACTTAAGCTCTTTATTAATTTATTTAAGGTCTTTCCTTAAAGTAGTAATAACTCTTTAGATCTTTATATTATATCCTTTATTTTATTTATATTAGATACTAGGTTATATAGCTATATTAGTTAGTACGTAGGTCTTATTAATCGATTTTATTATATCTACTAGTTCGGTTAATATTTTTATTTATATCGCTAAAGCCTATAATAATTTACTTAAATAGTTATCCTTTTTATCTTATTTAGTAGCTAAATTATTATAAAATTTTACTTTCTTTTAAATCTACTAGTCTTAGAAACTTATATCTTCGTTTTAATATAGCTAGCTAGTTTTCTAGTTAATTAATAGGTTACTCTCCTATAGTTATAAAAGTCCTAATATAAGGTTATATTCTTTAATATCTATAATATTAAAGTTAACTTATTTATTATAACCCTAGATATTAATATTAAGGTAATTAATCTCTATATTAATAATTCTATTATTATAGTTAATAGCCTTTCCTTTAATATTTATAAGTTTATATAGATCTTTCTTATATCTTTATATAAGTTAGTAATAAATAATAACTCTAGGTAAAACGTAATTACCTATTATACTATAGTCTAAAAGTATATATATATAATATCCCGCGATTTAAATATCTAATACTATTTAGTTACTATAGCTTACTATTACTATATATATAGTCCTTAGATCTTATTATATCGTGCTAGTTTATAGCCCTTTTATAAATAGTATACTTTATTTTTTACTTAGTCCTTATTTATTTTATTTAGGTATTCTTCTTTAATTTATTATTAATATTATTTCTTTATATTTTTATCGCGTAGTATTATATTAAGGCTTAAGAGACTAATTTCTTATAGCTAATTAAAGATTTCTTATTTCTTAACGCTATATCGTTTATATTATACTACTTTATAGTTAATTATATACTATACTTTATAATTTTATTTATTTTCGTATTAAAGGTTAAGTTTTCGTTTTATATCTTTTTATTTTTTATATAGTATTTCTATATCGATTTTCCCTTAGTTAAATATAGCTTATAGCCTTTATATATATTACTAATAATATTTTAGTATACTATTATATTATTTATACTATACTTATACTTTTTTATATTTATAAACTCTATAGTTTAAGTATATATATTTATTATAATCTTCCTTATTATATTTAACTTATTATATAAGTCTTTAGAAGATTAAGGGTTTAGATACCTTAGAGCGAGTAACGTTATACTATTCCTTTATTTTAGCGTATTTATAGATTTTATATATCTCTAAAAGATATCTCGTTAATAAACCGTAATTATCGCGGTATTTAAGTAGCGTACTATAATTAGGTTTTAATAATATAACTTAGTTATTTAGGTAGCGTTAATTTATTTTCTAGTAGTTTAGTTTTATACTTAGGTAGGGTTTAGAAAGTACTTATCCTTTAAACCTAACTAAGAACGCGTTATATTATACCTTTATTTAAAAGTATATTATACAATTTAGGTAAACTTATAATATCTATAAAATATACTTATAGTACTTATAAGTAAGTAGTATTTATAGATTATCTTTAAATTCTCCTTATAGTTACTATTCTTATTATAGAGCTATAAAGGTATCGATTATAGCGATAGCTATAGTATAGTCTCCTTTATATAGTACTAGTTAATATCGAATTAATATAGCTTATTAGTTTTCTATAAGAATTTAAGGTATTTATTAGGTTTTATTTTTAAGTATTTCTTTAAATTCTTCGAAGTATAAAGTATATTCTCTAATTATAGTATTTTCCCTTAATAGCGAGGGTAGTAGTATAAGTTCGTTCTTATCTTCCGTTTCTCTAGGTATTTCTTATTTTTTAGAGCTTATATCGTCGATACTTCGTTATTCCTCTTTAGGTTATTCCGAATACCTTTATAATAGCTTCTTTAAATCCTTAGAAACTAATAAAGACTTTATCTATCTTATTATCTTATTACGCTTATTAGTTATCGAGAAAATCCCTTATAATAGGTCTAAACTAAACGAGTACTATTCTAAATAAATAATTTCCTATATAGAGTACCTTTTCGACTAGGTCCGAAAGTTTAGTAAGGTAAAACCGATAGTAGGCCTTAAGTTAGGTAAGAAAGTCTCGAAGCGTACTATAAGTACTATCGAATAGTCCTAGCTATTTTAGTTTAACTACTTCTTTAAGATCCCTAACTTATCCGTTACCTCCTTTATTCTTAAGTAACTATACCTTATATTAAAGGGTAATAATCTTACGTATTATATCCTAAGGCGATATAGTAGCTCTAGAGTTAGTTAATCTAGCTAACTAGGTAATTAAGTAATCGGAATTAAAGATAAGATCGTAATAGAGATCGTAATAATTATATTAAAAGCTATCGAGCTATCTATCTAAAGGAGTAAAAGTAGGTAGCTATATATACCTATAAAGACTATCCTTAGATTATAGGCCTAGCTATAATCCCTAATATTAGATTATATAGAGCGTAGTAATCTCGTTAATCCTAGATTACTTAGATCTCTACGATCCCCTCGATCCTATATCTATTAGATAGTCGTGCCGACTATTTATCCGTTAGACCGTATTACGTGCTTAACGCGGTCGACCGTTAGCGGCCTAGTAGCCGTGGTCGTAATACTATCCCCCTTAAGTTAAGTTATATTCGTAAAGCTACTATAAAGTAAGGGAGTAAGCACCTAATCTTAGTACGCGCTAGATAAGTAACTCGTTTAAGTAAGATTACTAGACTATTAAACTTATATATATTACCTTTAAAATAGTACGTCGTCGGGCTCCCTAGTATAAGCTATATACCTAAAACTTATATAATTCGACGTAGCCTACGAAATTAAGGAAGGATTATCCTACCTTTATATAGGCATAGGAATAGACCTAGGGCAGATAAAGATAGAGGTATATTAAGCTATAAATTATAATATCGAGAGATAGTATACGTCGCGATTATAGTTATAGATTATAGGCCTAATACTAATAGAACTTTTATTAGAGGATAGTCTATTACTATAATACTAATTAAGGAGGCTTTACTAGCTAACGCTAAAGTAAGTAAGTATCCTATCGGTAGTTATCTTAAGCGTACTAAGGGACTTTTAATAAAGCTAATAAAGGTAATAAAAGGTTAGCTAGCCTAATCTCTATATATATCTATATATAGTATACCTAGTAAAAGGTAAGGTAGACTTTACTATATTATTAAGTCCTAGAATAACAGATAATATTATAGTAGAAGCCTATTAGTTATCGCGGGTATATAGTAACTAAGTTACTAGTAGGATCTAAGGATTTAGCGGGTAGCTATAATCGCGTTAAGCTATTATAAGAGGATAGAGTTAAGAGTCTATCTATATCGGCGAGTAAAGGCCCCCTTTAATTTAAGGCGTTAAAGTAATAAGAGGAGCCTTTTCCCTTCCCCTAAGCTAAGTTAAAGGACTAAAGGGACTAAAAATATAGCTAATAAAGTAGATATATAGAACCTAGGGGTATTAGAACTTAGCTAAATATATAGAGTAGGAGTTAAGGAGGTCGTATAAGCGGAGTAGAGTTAGATAAAGGAGGGGGCTATATATTAACCATAGCCGGCCGATAGGGAGGGATAACGGTAAGAGAGAGAGAGAGAGGAAGAAAAGGAGAATTAAGTAGAGGGGGGGAGGGAGTATAGGTGTTCTTATAGCAATCCCGTATATAGCGACGGGCCAAAGGGGGAGGGGCTTGCCTAAAGCGGAAGGCGGTAGGGGGCGGCGGGGAATTTGCAACGACCGACTTTACATAGCTAGACGAATAGCCACTCGCCGAAGCCACATAACAAGGTCGCGAATTCCGTCTGCGGCTGCTCTAATGATAACCTTGACTTCTTCTCCATGAGATTGTGGATAATCAAGCTATATGTATCCTTGTATTTGAGACAATGCTGGAACCTGGCACCCCTTTTGGCGGTAGGTCAATGATGTTGCCAACGATGGGTAGCAGTTTAGGCCCCGGAGGAGTCTCGGGCCAGCCTTCTTTCAGAAATATTGTCGAGAGATAAGGAAGCATATCAAAACAGTAATTTCAGCCTGGAAGAGGTCAGCTCGTACCACGAGCAAGTTTGTCATGGCGGGGAACTACATCCAATAGCACAAGTTCTTGCACAGTGTTGCTTGGAGATTGGATGATACGTAGCGGTGTGATAGGTTTGGCACAAGGTTGAGTGTCCGAAAGTGGTGCAGCAACTCAACGTAGATATCAGACACTCGTAGGGTCATTACACGGAGCTGAACCCGGTTGTGATCAGCCATGCGCTATGCGCTAGACATCGCAAGATAATTTGGCAGTTCTACAGCCAGCATCCATCCATCTCACTGCTCCAGAACTGACGATGGTTGAAGAGCTCCTTGTCTCGCTTAGCTTCAACATTTAGGGTGTTGATGTGTCATCACTGAGACACAGATGCGAAGTGAGTAGGAGGCCCACACAGGAATCGCCTACTCCGTACGGTAGGAATTGTTTCACCCGTTGGTCTACTCGTGTCCCTCCCACTTTTTTGGATTCCGGTTCGCCGTCGCCAGCCGTCTTTCTTACTAGATAAAAAAGGTTGCCCTTGAGGGCCTGATCCACGACAGCCGAACTGGAAAAAAGGCGGACGCGAGAAGAGTATCCCCACACTAATTAGTTAGCCGCATATTTCGATGTAGATGAGAAATTGAGACTCCTCTTTTCGTAGTTGCATGTCGACCCCTGTTCTTGATGTATCGAACCAGCAGGGGCCGTGTAGATGCCTTCATTAGGGAAAGTTGCCAAGAGAGACGTCTCTTTCTGCCATCTGCCATTTTTCGCCTGAAATCAATTCAGGTGGTTCCAAAACCTTGTCCCGTTCAGGCGGCGCAAGTGGCGTGTTGTAGATAGCGTTGTGGGCGCCCTGCTAGGCGACTTCTGCCACTCGAAATACTCTCCAAAACTGAAGCGATTGACGATGACGGTAGTTCGACAAGCGATCCAAGTAGCATTAGTGACTAGTTAATTGGTGAGAATCATCTAAAGAACAAGAAGCGAGTGGGCTGACACACGAAATTGTGCAGCGCTTTATATACAAATGAAGGCTGTCTAACCCACCCTCTCAGGCTAAGCCCAATCGAAAGGTTGACGCAGTAGCTGTTATCTTGGAGGCAACAGCATTGCGAATACCAATATCGCCTCTGCATGAGTAATCATTCTACGTAGGCTGGTTTGATATGCGATACGAGGGAATGTAAGCCGGCTTTTGGGCCCCCTTTTGGGCCCCCCAAGTAACAAATAGAAAGCAAAATTAGCTCCCATGCAATAAAGCACGACCTCTGTAGAGCTATGAGGGACGAGGTCGACAAATGTCGTCTGATACGCAGTTCTCACGCAATGCGACTCATATAGCCTGTATATGCAGATGTCGCGGTATCATGCTCATCTCCGAGGTGCCGGAACAGACCTAGTGGGCAAACGCATTCCCAACGAGATGATACTAGCGCAGGGCAAACTAGGGAAATTGAGTAGCAGGGCTTTTCAGGGAACTCTATAGTGGCTAGACGACCATTCCCAAGGTTGAAGAGTCTGCGTTTGATGGGGTGAGGTGACAGGTGCCGCCCCGAGCGAGGCGCACAAAAGTGGTGAAAGAGCGGAAAGCAGTCGTAAAATCAGAGTGAATTTTGCAAACCAACTATCTATCCCTGATTGATTTTCGGCATCACATCCCTGCTCGTGCCAATCGAAAGCCGGTGTTTCTGGGGCATAGTCTTTTCGTTCCTCAAGGCATAAGTATGCCTTCCCGCTGTGCTGTCCATTTGGGCTATGATAGTATAGGAAATTGTCCCGCTGTCAAGCCGGTAAAATACCGCTACACCAAGCAAAATAGTGGCACCACCAGTGGAGCTGTTGTTAACGCGTATTACAAGTCCTTTCTCTGCTCTGACACTGATACCCACCGTCTCTGATGCTTGACCGGAATCCTACATGTCCCCTTGCACTACCTCTATCTTGCAATGGAAGTTTAGTCTCACCATTCCAGTACGGAGATAGGTCGTCTATTTCATTTCTTGACGCCGGGTTATATAGAGCACGGGTAGGCCCGCCCAGCAATGCGAGGTTCATTCGCTCCGTGAGTATTCCCCTATTCTTTCTGGAAGTATCTTGCATTGCCGTTGCCTAACCATCGGTAATCTTGTCGTGGAGCTGGCTAACACGGGGGCACATCAGGCGTGCACTCTATCCTGTGGCATCCTGGACGGTTGCTTTAGTCTTCAAAATTCGATCTTCAGTGTGAAGTCCTCCTATCCTGCTGGCACCATATCATTCAAAATTCCGGATAGTGTTGCCATTGCCTTCAACTCGCTAGACATAAGCGTCAGCAGTGTCCAACGGAGGCCGTGCCATTGACAGCACCCACGTCGGTGGCAAGACCGCCTACCTGAGGTCTCCTTATCTCGTAAACGAAGGATACAGCTTCCACGACGACAGGGAATAAAACTTACCGCACTACACTCAGTCAACATGACTGAACACGCCATCGAGGAGCGCGCCAGGGCACACCTGCCGACCGATGTACCCATCTACGCCTCGCTCTCCGTCAAGCGGTACGCCGTACAAAGCCCCCCACCGTCAACCTGGGTCCATGCCTGTCACCACCTGGTCGGGCTCGTCTCGCAGGAGACCGACGACTGGTTCTTGCAAAATTGGCCGTTCCCAAACGACAAGGCGCGGCACAAGTTCGTCGCGGCCGGGTACTCACAGTTGACTTGCTTGTACTACCCGCTCGCCAGGGATGACCGCATCCATTTCGCGTGTCGGTTGCTAGCAATTCTGTTCTTGCTTGATGGTACGTGTTATTTCCGCGGTTGATACAGCCCGGTTCCTGTCTGACTTTGTGCGTTGCAACGAAGATTTGCTAGAGGACATGTCCTTTGACGAAGGCGAGAAGTATAATGCCACGCTGATCCTCATCGCTCGCGGCGACGTATTGCCAAACCGTAAGTGTGTCCCTAGCCGCTGTTCATGTGATATCGAGAAGATTGAGCGATGAAACCGATAATAGGGGCCGTGCCTGCTGAGTATATGTTTTACGACCTGTGGGAGAGCATGCGTACACATGATAAGGATCTCGCCAACGAAGTCCTTGAGCCGACGTTTGTGTTCATGAGGGCACAGACCGACCGATCTCGCAAGGAAATCAGTGAGCTGGGCCAGTATCTCGAGTACCGCGAGAGGGATGTTGGTAAAGCGTAAGCTAGTAACTTCCCTACCCATCGCCACCCTGAACCCCGCTGGTGATCTATATATATAATGCCTCGTACAGCCTTCTTTCGGCGCTGATGCGCTTCGTAATGGGCCTGCACCTCACTGTGGACGACATTGAGGAGGTCAAACTCGTGGAGCGCAACTGCGCCAAGCATATCTCGGTCGTGAACGACATCTTCAGTTGGGAGAAGGAACTGAGGCAGTCGGAGAAGAGCAGCCAAGACGGGTCCGTACTGTGCTCAGCTGTCAAGGTGCTGGCTGACAGCACGTCACTGGGCGCCGAGGCGTCCAAAACGTGCCTGTGGACCATGGTGCGCGAGTGGGAAGTGAAGCATGAGGTGTTATGCGCAGAGCTGTGCATGGATGCCGGGATGGCATCCGAGCTTAAAGTGTTGTACCTCAAGGGACTAGAGTATCAGATGAGCGGAAACGAATACTGGAGTCGGACAACGCCAAGGTATTGGATTGTGGATTAAAGTAAGGGCATTTTATCAAACCTACTGGGAGGTTTTAAAGCCAACCAGGCACTGGGGGTGCTGATAACCAAGAAAAGTCCCACTGACCTAGGGAAGAAAAAAGATATATCTCTTCAAATATAGTTAGCTAGGCTAATAAATCAAGTAGCCCTTTTTAGCTTATATTCGCGATAAATCGACTCGACTGCAAGACCCGCGTTTCCCGCTCTGTAAGGCAACGCCTTAACACCATAACTTATAACCGTGACACGAAGCATACATTACTGTTTGGCCATTTCTCAAGCTATAGATCTCCAAATGCCGCGAAGTGCGAGGTACAAAAAAATTGCATCTTGTGTTTTGTTTTTCTCCCTCTGTTTCTTCGAGAAGAGTGGAGGGCTACGTCTTATATAGACATAGCTGATAAATCCGACATGACCTAGAAGTTAGATCCTTTCAAAGCCCGCCTTTAATAACACGCCTACGTGATAAGCCACCAACAAATATGACGTTGACGTCCTGATAGGATATTTCCAGCTTTCGCTTTTAAGGAGAGGTAAGGTTTCCAGACGGAGTATTTTCCCGGAAGCGGCTCGCTAAGTCAGGGAGGTCGTTGAATTGGACGTGAAAAGAGGAGCCGGCTTTCGTCCTTGAATTCCGGCCAACCAACAGAAGCGGACATAGTAATTTTCGACAGTCTTCCAAGCAACGAGGCTTAAAAAGGCTTGGACCAAAAACCTTTCCCGGCAATCCAGGGAGACGGCAAGCTCGGAAAGAGGAGAGGGAGCAGTCTGTCGAGAGTACTGTTGCTTCGGCGCCGGCTCGCCGCATCCTACAACGCCATCTACCTCACCCGCTGCCGCCCAGGCGCCACGCTTGCGTGCGCCTGCTCCGTACCCGATGAGAGAAAATGCCCCTTTGACGGTGAGAATGGCGTGTGCGGGCTGGTGAGACGTTGGAGGTCGGTCTTCCGCCGGTACTTTGTGGTCCTGTCGGAACATGTACTGTTCAGATTGGTCATCGCTCAGAGGCCACCTCGGCGTGTCCAACCTCATCTTTCTCTTTCGGTCAGCTGCAGGTGCGAGGGATTGCTGCCCAAGCCAGCTGACCCCGCCTCGACTACTCTATACGTGCAACAGCAAGTTGCCCTTGGCTCGACACAATCGTCCATCACCAACAAGAATATTCCACTACAAGATTTGTTTATCCGGACGACTGCCCCTGAAGCTCCCATGACAAAAAGGGCCATCCTTATCGGGGTAGATTTCTATGACATTCCCCGTGCCGTTGACCTTGATCAGCTTAGCGGATGCGTCCGCGATGTGAGAGCTGTTCGAGACGTCCTTGTCCAGAACTGGGGCTTTCGAAATGAACATGTTACCATGCTCACCTCGACTCGTTCTGACACCAAGGTCACTGCAGGAGCAGACGACGCCTCCTCGGAAGCGTCGCCCAGCTACGAGAACATTGTCGGAAGCGTCGAATCAACGCTGAGCAAGAGTCAGCCTGGAGACGTGCTTTACTTGCAATTTTCGGGCTACATCCAGAGAGTCACAACGGCGACGCCGCATATTCGAAATCTGCCACAGAATGATCAAGACCTGGCGCTGCTCCCTGTCAACCAGTTCCGCGACGGAAGATGCTTGCATGATGTGGAGCTGGCGGCTCTGCTCTACAGACTCACAGCAAAGGGATGCGAAGTAATGCTAGTCGTCGACGGTCGCAGCACTTTTCTACCGGAGCTTGTGCCTCACTGCCTGCCCAACATATCGCACGAGGACACCTTATTGGTGTCTTACGGACCCTGGCCCGAATTTGGGAAGCACACATGGCTTCAGAATCCTCCACCTGATGCTCCCTACGCTCTTTTGCTCATGGGAGGCTACGATGCAATATCGGGTTCGGTTGAGTATCGTGAGCCGCCAACACAACATGATTACGGCTTCCTCACCTACCGACTTCTTAAACTGCTCAGGGGATCGAGCCTAAACAGGACTTACCGGAGTTTTATACGACAATTGGTGACAGGAGTGAAGCCTTGGTTTCGGCACTGCACGAATTGGGAGTTCGGCCTGGTCCTTGTCAGCGAGATGGATAGCATATTCCTCGGAGGAGGCCGTCGCCTGCTGCCATTGCCGCCTAACTTTCCAGCCATGGTTATCAAGGAGCAGGGCCGAGTCGAGATACAAATACAGGGCGGAGCTGCCCACGGCCTCAGGAAAGGAGACCGTCTCGTCCTTGTCCAGGGAAACGGTCTGCGGAGGGCGTCAGAGTTTTCGCAGGACGGACAGGTGTTCGGGGTCTTGGAGGTGTCGTCGGCCCACGCGCTATTCAGTCATTGCCGACCCTTGACAGAGATGATGGTTTATCCACCGTCAACTGCGAATGAGTCTTTGAGTGCCATCCTCATTGTCGACACTGACAGTTTGCCTCTGCGCGGCGGCACGCTCAACACGAAATTGCAGGCCACTTCAAAAAAACCACCGCGGTTGACCATACGCAGCGTGTCCGACGTGAACCCCATGTCCCCACAGATGCAAGTGGATTTCTATCGCTCCCTGCTTCACCTGAATCCCAGGTCCTCCGCCGTGTCGAGACACGTCAAATTGTCCGTGGTGGGAGGCTACGGGCATCGCCAAGACAGAACCCCCAGAGTCCCAACATTTGGGCCCAAAGGCCATCTACATCTTCTCTCAGGAGACTATGTTGTTCTTCACTTAATCAGCAGACTGCCTCGTTCCATGTTTGTTAGAATCCTCTGTTTCGACAGCGCTTTTGGGGTTGCACAGGTGTATCCCGCAGCCGGTATCGCCCTGGGAGTCCCTTCCTTCGGCGATGGCCGCCCGGAATTGCCAGTCTTTTCCACGGGATATAAAGGTGAGCTTGCCATTCATATGCGGCTGTCCTCACCCATCTCGCGCAAGGTGAGCACGGTTGCAAAGCCGACCGTCGAGCGCCTGAAGGTTTTCGTGGTAGACTCGCCGAGCTCGTTCGAGGGAGTCGAAATACCCCCGGTGTCGGACGAGGACTTTTTGCTCGAGAATCAAGAAGCGGCTTCTCTGATCTCTGGCACGTCTGTGGATGACGACAAGCTCAATTCCCAGGCAACACTGGCTGACCAGCCCTGCAATCAAGAGGACGAGTCGGCCGATGATAACTGGTGCTGTTTCGAGGCCAGCTTCATTGTCCATAAGTCGATGAGTACTATTCCTTTGTAAACAAATGGCTGAGAAATAAATTGCTTGTGTAGGGGCTCGCTTGGAATTTCTTGGACGAACAGGTGCCTTCTTGTTGTCTATCAGCAGCCAAGGGAAAGGCAAGAAGAGCCCGAGGAGGTCCGAGTCATAGTTGCTATCCTATCCTCTGCGTACTCCGTGAAGAATGAACTACCCTTTATTTAACCTCCTTCCGTATCTCCGTATGCAGAACCAGCTTTTATCGCTGCCTTAAAGCTGACGTTTAATTGCGCGGTCCAATTAAGCCGCCCTTGCACCCGTGCCCGCACGAGCCTGCACAGAAGCTCCGCACAAGGCCCCGACCCGAGTGACCCTCGCCTTTCCTTGCGATCCCGTCTTAAGGCTACCAGCAGACTGACCTTGGTGACCCTCGTCGCCTTCCTTGTGAGTCTATCTTCGCTACGGCAAGCGTAGAAGAAAGGGAAGCGGCAGACAGGGCCGCTATATACGCTATGGATTAAATTCCACAAGTCGAGAAGGGTGCCTGCTCCTGCGCGTTAAAGAGCAGCAGCGGTTCTAACGACGAGTTTACCATGGAATGCTTCTACCCATCCTAAGGGAGCAGTAATGAGGGCGGCCTATAGGATAGGTCGATGTGCCTAGTTTTACTCATAGTCAAGGTGTAATATAACCGGACAGTGCTTGCACTTTTCATGACCACAATATAAGCAAAAGCGTGTAGAATGACAAAGAAACGTACCCCCGCCGCAGTTATGCTAAGTTAAACTATGTATTAGTAAATAGCTTACTCTAATAGATATTGAACACTTACGCATGTCCAGCATTCAAGACGCCGTAGGACGCGAGCCGCGCTCTTATCTTGGCGGACGGGAGACATGTACCTATTGGCATCGATAGTCGGTAATGCCTGAGATCCGGTCGGAAGCTCTAAAGCAATAGGCGCTATAGCAGTAGCTTGTAGACTATCGCGCGTCTGACGCACTTAGTCACATGTATATCCCTCCCTTGTAGTCGTAGTAAACCGAGCAGTCGTAGGTTTATCCGCCGGCGCAATGCCACAGACGCACGTAATTGCCTGTGCCGCCTTTATAACAAGAGCTTCGTCCGTAAACAATCCATCGTGCCGGGCAATATCCATGGGAATTTGTTTCGGGTCACGATCGATACTTAGGTTTAATTGGCTTACGTCGGTGGGGTGCAAACTCTTGTCTCCATGGAATATTCGAACAATCAGGTTAACATCGACGATGTCAACACACTTATATCGACTAATGTCGTCCTCGGGGCCCGGCTGCTTTGGCATGATCCTAGATATCGAGCGAACGATGGTGGGTGCTTCTCCCGTCAGAACAACTTCTTCGGGCGGTCGAGCTCGGTTTGCCGGCACGGCTCGGACTTCGGTCTCATTGAAGCGTCTATAGTTCAGGCGGCAAACGGGACTTTTTGACTTTCAGCTTGCACTACTGGCCAAGGAACGAGCTGGACGACGTACCACTCTATCCCTTTCTCTATATCCCCAACCTGGACGAACCCGCATGACGGGCACTGCTCAGCAGACCGGGACCTCTTTCGAAATACCATGCTCATCCTGAGCACTTGGTTGGGCTTGGAGCCTTTAGCGAGAATGATCTCTCGGTCAAAGGCATAGTGTCAGACCTTAATAATGGATTGCCAGTCCCTTAATAAGTCCAGGGTCTGCCCCGTCGCGAGGTCGTCGAGAACCCACTCGCCGCTCTCTATCTTGCTTGTTCCGAGATCCTGGAATCGTGCCTTAAGTATCGCGATAAACAGCTGCGATGCTTAAATGTCAGCTGAGATCTAAGCTATAGCGGAAAGATAAGGTAAGCTACCGCTGCTAACCTCTTTGGAGTTAATGGTTTCTAGGTGAAAGGGGAGACGTGCGCCCCTGGCATCAATAACTAAGACCGGGGCCAAGGTAACTTGAGCCGGTATCCAGCTTCCGAGCAGCGCCCGTGCTTGCTCGGACGTGAGACCAAAGTGGCTCGGGAGGACCGCCCCTTGGAGAGCAGAGAGAGGTGTAGATGCTTGGCCCGGGTTGTGCAATACAAGCCCCCAAGGCTTTGCATATTGATCTTTTCCGGGCAATGCTTCAAGCAGGGCCTTCATGGCGGCGGCGGCAGTAGCCGAGGCGAAGCCCTGCCATTTCTTGTCTTTGTGGCTATCGGCGTAGTCACATACGCCCTTGACGATGATGCAGGGCAGCTCATCCCAGACGCCGGCACCCTCCATCTCGAAAGCCAGAGCTCCCGTGACGCGTGCGATACGGTCGCGGTCTTGGCCCGACTTCATGACGGCGTCGCCCGAGGCCACAGGGCCGATGTGAATAGACGGCTTCTGGGCCTCGGCGGCATCCTCGCTCTCTAGATTGCACTTCAAGTTGAGCTCTGCCCTCGGAACTAGGTACGAGTCGTCACACCCAATCTCTTCGCACGAGGCCGGGAGGGCGGCGTTGCAAGTGTTGGTCTCGCTGCAGCAGGACAAGGAGCCGCGATGTCGATGACGGTAGGAAGCCTCAAATAGCCTATCGTGCAGCGTGCCAGGGTGTCTATAGTTGTGCTTGCTTCGTCGTGGCAACTTCTTCTCCTGCAACCTCTCTAGGAAGAATGCGGTGCGCCGCTCTAGGCGCTCGCGACCGTGGTCCGTCTCAAAGCCCCTAGGAAGAGACCGAAGCCCTTTGCTTAGCCGCCCGAGGCTATCCTGGACCGAAGTCTTCGGCAGAAATTTGTCGGGCCATTGCCGGCCAAAGTCATACTGCACGACTGAGTTCGCGATGACAACGTCGCCTTGAAGGATTTCGTCACCCTGCAAAGGAACGCCGCCGCAGATGCCAACGAGAAGTGCCAGTTACAAGGCGGCGTAGCTACTATGGGGAGAGGCCAGCGCCGCAGCGGCGTGAACCTTTCCTACGCCCGGAAGGAGAACGAGAACGGCATTATGCCTCCCGACACGGCCGTACGAGTAACAATTGCTGTCGCATATAATCCCCGGACTCTGTTCCTTATCGTCCCAGCACTCGTCGAAGAGACGCAGGTTCGCGTCGGCCTCAAAGGGGAGGGCGCAGATAATAGCCACTTCGAATTCCTTCGGTCCCTGGCTCATATCGGACTGCAATAACGTATTATCACGAGTATCTGCCTTAAATATAAGACACGACCGTCGAGAAGATCGATAGACTTCTCCTTCGTGCGGGGAAAAAGGGGGTTAAACTTAAGCCCTGATTCACAACGCCCTAAAAGAATTAAGGCAGACATGCATTTCGGATAAAGGAGTATCTACACCCCGATTAGTAGCGTTTTTTCGGCGTAACTAAAGTATTCGAGCTCCTTCGTCTATAGCTATATATCCCTTACTATAAATAAGCTATGTATATTATTATCTAGTAGTTATAGCTAGGCTAAACGCGTTAAATTAACTATTTAATAGTAAAAAATATATAATATTATTATATCTTCTTAGCTAACTTTTCAAAACTAAGCTTAAAACACGAAAGAAGTATACGCCTAAAACCCTAGTAAATAGCGTATTACGCCCCCCTAAGTATAGCCTCGCGTAGCTACTAGCGGGTGCGTAATATACTACCGAAGTTTACGAATTAGGCGAGGTTTTCCCTTATATAAGTAGAAAACTCTTCCCCGCCCTCGCTAACTAAGGGTATATGCCCCCCGCTAATAAGACCTAGCCCGGACCTAACTTAGGACCCTAGCCTAGGCTTAAAGAGGGCCCTTTTAACCCCTTAACCTAAGGGCCGAAATAAGTACCTTAGAGGCTAGGGCTTATTTAAAAGAAGCCTTAAAAGGCTAACGCCTTTTAATAACCTTAGAAGAAAGGCCTAAGACCTAAGACTAGGACTTAAAGGATATTAAGATAAAAGATAATACTTAGCCTATATTAAAGACTAGCCTCTTTAAGCTTAGTATTACGACCGCGGCTACTAAGCCGCTAACGGTCGACCGCGTTAAGCACGTAATATAGTCTAATAGATAAATAGTTAGCACGACTATCTAATAGATATAGGATTAAAGGGATTATAAAGATCTAAGTAATCTAAGATTAATAAGATTACTACGCTCTATATAATCTAATATTAGGGATTATAGCTAGGCCTATAATCTAAGGATAGTTTTAATAGGTATATATAGCTACCTACTTTTACTCCTTTAAATAAATAGCTCTCTAGCTTTTAATATATAGATCTTTATTATAATTCTATCTTTAATTTTAATTACCTAGTTATAGTCTATAGTCTATAACCTCCGACTTATTACTAATATAATATACTTATTATTACTTAAACTATGCTTTATTATATCTATTAATATAAACCCCTCGATAGGTTTATCCCTTAAGAATAATACTAATTACTATATATTAAAAGCTCTTATATAATATAATACCGCGTTACTTTAAGTAATATTATAACTATTAATATACTTATATAGTAAGCTAGATTAACTAACTCTAGAGCTACTATACCGCCTTAGGATATAATACGCGAGATTATTACCTTTTAATATAAGGTTTAGTTACTTAAAAATAAAGGAGATAATAGATAAGTTAAGGACCTTAGAAAAGTAATTAAACTAAAATAGCTAAGACTATTTAATAGTACTTATAGTATACTTTAAAACTCTCTTATTTAACTTAAAGCTTACTATTAGTTTTACTTTATTAAACTCTTAGACTTAGTTAAAAAGGTACTTTATATGAGAAATTATTTATCTAAAATAGTACTTACTTAGTTTAGACTTATTATAAGGGACTTTCTTAATAACTAACTAGCGCGATAAGATAATAAGATAGATAAAGTCTTTATTAGTTTTTAAGGATTTAAAGAAGCTATTATAAAGGTATTTAGAATAATTAATAAGGAATAAGAAGCTAAATAAAAACTTTAAGAACTCTAATAAAAGATCTTAGTATTAAATTATACTATAAAGTTCTATTAAGTTACTTTAAAACTTAATTAAGATAATAAACCTTTTATATTACGATTTTATAATAAGCTTAAAAAAGAAGTTAAGGACGAGCTTTATAAGGAAAATTAACTTAATAACCTCTTAGACTATATTACTATAATAGTATAAATTAATAATAAATAGTATATATAATACTAAGAAAAGAAATAAGGAAGAAGAAACTAAAACCCTTTTTATAAAAATAACTTTAACTAACGCGCTAATTATAAAAAGAAGCGCGAAACTCTTATTACTTATACCTATATAATTAACCTAAGTAGGATAGACCTAAATATAATATAGAAAAGTAAAAAAAAGTATTTTAATTATAAGAAACCTAGATATTATTTTAAAAAGTATAGATAACCTTATAAAAAGAAGAAAATATACTAAGTACTAGCCTTAAAAGGTAAGAAATACTTAAACGCTATTAATAGATAGGAACTAAAGTATAAACTTCTTACTTAAACTATATACTATAATAATAAATATATAGTATACTTAAGTAAGAAGAATAGTACTAAATAGTTCTTAAAGCTATTAAAGAAAACCCTTATAATAATATAATAAATAGATATTAAAATATAGAAATAAGTTAAGTTTATAGAACTAAAATACCCTTATCTTAAAGGAGTCTCTTAAGACTAAATTAAGAAAAATAGTAAACGATTCTAAAAAGATATATACAATAAAAATAAATAATAATAATAAGGAGTTTATAGATAATATAATAAAGAAGATATAAATATAGCCCTTAGACTTATAAAACTTAGATAATAACTTAAAGAGGAATAATAAAGTATCGACGATATAAGCTCTAAGAAATAAGAAATACTTAAAGAAAGAGAAAGTAAGAATAAACTTATACTACTACTCTTACTATTAAGGGAAAATACTATAATTAAAGAATACGCTTTATACTTTAAAGAATTTAAAGAAATACTTAAAATAAAAACTTAATAAATACCTTAAATTCTTATAGAAAACTAATAAACTATATTAATTTAATATTAACTAGTACTATATAAAGGAGACTATACTATAGGTATTATTATAGTTAATACCTTTATAGCTTTATAATAAGAATAGTAACTATAAGGAGAATTTAAAGATAATCTATAAATACTACTTACTTATAAGTACTATAAGTATATTTTCTAAATATTATATATTTCCCTAGATTATATAATATACCTTTAGATAAAGGTATAATATAATACCTTCTTAGTTAAGTTTAAAGGATAAGTACTTTTAAAACCCTACTTAAGTATAAAACTAAACTACTAGAAAATTAATTAATACTACTTAAATAACTAAGTTATATTATTAGAACCTAATTATAGTATACTACTTAAATACCGCGCTAATTATAGTTTATTAATAAGATATCTTTTAAAGATATATAAATATTATAAAGTATAACTTAATTTTATAGTTCTTAGAGATATCCCTTAGTAAAAGGGACTAAGGAAGCTAAAAATACTTAGTATAAAAGAAGGAAGAGGTATAGAAAAGAGGGTAAGGGTATAAGGGGAAGTATAGGTAGCGATAGCTTCTTATAAAGGTAGCGAGAGTTAAGATAGATATGCCGGCAACGGCTAAAAAGGAGGGGAAAAACTAGTAAAAAGCTTAGTAGTTAAAAGGATATTAATAGCTTCTTTAAGTAGGATTTTCTTTATTAATTAAGATACTAGATAGGTATAAAGAGGGGCGTTAGATAAAGGAAAGAAAAAGAATTAAGGCAATATAATAATTACTCCCTTACTATAATTACTACCCTTATAAGATTTAAATATCTCTGCCTTACCTATCTATCCCCTTACTTTTACTTTTACCTTTATATATTTTATATATACTTCTTATATCTCTCTTTATAAGAGTTATAAGTCTAAGAGGAATAGTATTCTTATACCTTCCGGCTACTATAAAAGGCACCTTTCTTATATCCTTTTACCCCTCTTACTAGAAAAGCTGATTTTTAACTGACTTTTCTACCCCTTCCTCTATAACGATATCGAAAAACGACTCCTCTACTATCCCTATAGTTTATAGGACGATTCTTATAGAGCCCTAAGATTAGGATAAGTAGGTAAAGGAGCTATAGGCTTATATAGATAGAACTATTTATAATTTAGTTTTCTCTAATAAGTAGGACCCTCTTAAGCCCCTTTTTTATCCTAGGGCAAAGGAATTTATAGAGGGAGCTTCCCTCTTCTCTAAGCTATAGTAGAGAGCGTTTTCTATATATAGTAGAGAGCGTTTTCTACTACCTTAGGTAACTATAAGAGTTACTATAAGGAATACCTTTATAAGACGAAGCTACTAACTACTATATATATAGCAATAACGGAATCCGTTAGTACTATAAAGCTAATCTCTTTTTAAGAGGAAGAGACCCCTAGGTAGTAGCTTTTAAAGCTTAAGACCTCGATAGCTCCCTTAAGGGGCTATATAACTATAAGGAACGGTGTTCCTATTATAAATAAAGCAGCTATAATATACTCTCCCGATTATATAAGCTAATAAGTAGTATATTAATTATAGACAAAATCTCATCCTATAGAGCAAGAATCGCTCGTTATTTTATATGTTATTATGCATTAAACGGGTTGCCGGTTATCGTACAATCGGGAATCGAAGGAATAGAGCTAGCTTAGAATGCTAGCTAAGACCTCTTAAGAACACCGGCACGACCAACCTCCTTTAAACACGAATATTAGTGGAACTAAGACACTTCTAGACTCACTCGAGGTATCACGGAATTCTCTAGTCTCAGGGCTATACGGCAGCCTAAATCTGGTCCCGAAAGGTTCTTCCGTTCAGCTACAATTATCTATATAAGACAGCATGTCCGCTGGTAGATAGATTAAGAATCATTAACTTTAACACCTCTTCTACACACTAATACACTACCAATAAATTCCATTGAAAATCCTACCTTATACTCCTTCTTCCCCTCTATTACGTAGTCTTACGTGATCCCTTAATTTCCTAAAATTCCGCTTTTACTTATATACCTTAATAATAACTAACCGTATTAAGAAGATCTATATAGTATACCTAGGAGCCTATTTTACTAGGAACTTACTAGCTTCTTCGTAGCTAGCTAAGTAGGAAGAAATCCTTAAGGAAGCTAACTAATAC